TATCCAAACACTACACAATCACACAATCCTTACAACCAAACATTATTAGAAAACAATTTTTTGGATTTGTTTTTTAAAACCAAAAAATAAAAAAAAGTTTACTATTAATATTCACCTATTCTTATAATTACCTTAAACCTATAAAATTCAATTCATATTTGCAATATTTTATTTTGTATATTTGAGTCATAAACCGTATTTTTAAAAATTATGATAGTAAATAAATACATTTTATTAGTAAGTGATATATATTGACTAAAAAAAAATTCAATTATTTCACGGGTGGGATGCATTTCTATACAAAAGAGTTACAAAATTCATATATATAAACGAGTTTTAGATTTCGTATAATAATTTTTCCAATAACTATAAATTATATTTTTAACTAAAGCTAGATTAATTTTACTCGCGTATCACATTATCCCGCGTATGACGCAGGTCACTATCTAATAATTTATTATTTAACACTACATAAATAAAAATAAAGAAACTAACACTCTAACAATGTGAGATTCCGATTTTACCCCTACTGTATTTATGGTAAGCGATTTCATAACAAAAATTATCCTCTCTATAATAAATAGTCATATATATCATTTCCATTATTATTTCTTTAAATATATTCTCTTTCTCAATTTTTTTTTGTGTCTATAAAAATTAATCAAAGATAGTATAGTACAAACACATGACTAGGTAACTAAATATGGTCGTTAGATAGTGACCTATGTTATCATAATAATTAATTATGATATTGAATAGTTAACTATGTAATTTTATATAAACAGTCGACTATATAAACAGTTTTTTCGGATCTATAGTTAACATTAAAAAAAATAGTTTTTAGATAAATAGTTACCTATGTAACTTAAATAGTTAACTATGTTTCTGAAAACTGTTTTTTAATAGTTAACTATACATCCAAAAACACTGTTTATATAAATAGTTAACTATGCAACTTAATAGTTAATTATGCAACTAACTATTATCGAATGTATAGTTAACTATTAAGAACCTTACAATATAGTTTACTATTTCCAGAACAAAGTGAACGAACAATAATTCATTTATTTTTAAACAGGTGACTAAACTACAAGAATTTAAAAATACTATATTGTGTGTATGTTTGAATCATTCATCTCTCTTTCCATAATGTCAGTTTTTTTCTTAAAGAATATTTATGGGGAAAGAGGTCAATTAATAACTACATGGGTAAAATAGTCAATTTTTATTTTCTCTCTGGTATAAACTTAAATTTAATTATGCATATCTTATTCTCTTTATTATGTATCATAAATGTAATATTAGCCTAATTAAACCTACTATTAATGTGTGGATGCATCTGCAACAAATCTTGATAGTGAGTCTGAGGAAAGTATTGACGCTACCATCGAGAAGGAGTAAAATGCTGATTCTAAAGAGTTTGAGAATGAGCTTGGATACACTCATTCAGTCAAAAAAGGAGAGAATGAAAGAGAAGTTTCGGGAGCATCATAATGTTGGAATAAGAAGGCAATTTTGGCAACACACGGGACAAAGCGACGTGGCAAAATAGCTCACATGAAAGTGAGGTTGGACTCTTCTTGAATTAGAAAGCCCAAAATTATTAAAAAGGTTAGAAACCCACTTAACATGAAAATATTAGGGTTTTGTGGTCTTAGGGTATCTCCAACCCCACTCCATTTTGTACTCTAAAATGGAGTTTGCAGTCAAATATGTTCTAACACCACTCCATTTCCATCTCCAAAATAGAGTAAAATGTAGTTTACTCCAAATATGGAGTAACTCCATTTATCACTCCATTTTTTTGTTCTTTACTCCATTGTTTACTCTAAAATAGAGTAGGGTTGGAGTAAAACACAACTCTATTTTAGAGTTCATCTATTTTGGAGTAAAAAATGGAGTTTTGGGTTGGAGATGGTATTAATATAAGAGCCAAGAGGCGTAGAAAAAAAAAGATTACACGCCTAGGGTTCTACTCAGTATTGCACACAAGGTGTGTGGCGTTGTCCCACCAGATAGACAAGATGAGGGATCTATGAGATCTGTTGGCGGTTTGTATGTGAAAATCGCAGCCGTCAGAGAAGACAATGAAGCTGCACCGGTGCTGCTGGTGATAGTCAAGGATGCGTTCTTGATAACGTTTCCAATATACGTGTAAAAAAAAGTGGTGGATGCCATATAGTAATTATAGGTTGCAGCTTTTTCTAATGGATTGATCCTGGACTAGGTCACGACGAGGGTTGTTGGACACGAGTTTCTTCTCTCATGGGTTCAGACCATTATAGGGTCCGGCACAAAACCTGTCTCCTAGACTATTTATTGTGTGATAAGCTCTATCCGAAATGCTAGGAACTCCATAATGTAATGTGGCAACGGATAATTCGTATAGATTAAGGAGGATTATTTTATCTGTAACATCCAATATACAAGCTTTAACAGATTAGAATAATTAAATTTTAGTTTAAAATTTTTAAATTAAAAATACTCTAGGATAAAATAGTTATGCCGTCTAGACGGATAAAGCTATGCCACCTAAACTTCGTCTACATTACCAAGGTTTTAATTTCACCTTCCACCTAAATCCACCGCCTAAGATGAAATCGCCACGGTACGAGTTCACCTAATAATAAAGGCCTAAATGTTCAACCGTCTAGTCCGTTTTTGCTTTAGTCCGTGTGAGCCATTATTGAAAACATTTTAAACATGCATTGATATCGAGTGGTTGCATTTAATATTAAGCATCAAGTTCACTATATTTAGAGCATCCGCATTGGCATTGGAGACATTTTGTAGGTGTTTTTAAATATAAAATTATTAAAAGTTGAGTAAAAAGAAGAAAGAGAATGTTTTTGGTTGAAATAATGGGGTGTACTGAAATATAAAATTAATAAAATTTGAGTAAAGAACGGAGATAGTGGGTATTTTTGGAGAAAGAATGTCTCTTGGAAGACAAACTTGGGGAGATAATGGATGAAAATTGGAGTGTGTTTAGATATAAAATTAATAAAAGTTGAGTAAAATAATAAAAAAAAAGATATAAAGTTGAGTAAAAGGACGAGAGAGTGTATTTTTAATATTTGTTTATTTAAAGACATCCACAAAATGTCTCGAATGTGGATGGTTTTAGGATTTGACGTTTTCCCCTATAAAATGACACTAATTGTAAACGTTGAACCAACTTTCTCTTAGCAATATACCTTTCTTCCTCATTTTTAAACCAACAATAACAATTAATGGCAAACCATCTTCAAGATCCATTAACCATTTTCCATAAACAAAGTCTAATCAAAGAAGAACAACAACTTGAAGAAACGGTGAGCTTGCAAGCAGAGAGGATCTTGTACACCATGGTTTTCCCCATGGTTCTCAAATCCGCCTTGGAGCTTGGCGTCATCGACACAATCGCTGCGGTAGATGAAGGTGAGTGGCTCTCGGCTTCCGAGYTTGCGCTTRGTCTCCKAACCAAWCCCACCAACCCGGYYGCACCGGWTTTYTTGGACCGGATGCTGGTTTTACTAGCAAGTCACTCGATCTTGAAGCATCGTACGGCTGAAAACGGAGAAACCGGAAAGACCGAGAGGGAATATGCAGCTGAACCGGTTTGCGCGTTTTTCTTGAACCGTGGTGACGGCTCCGGTTCTCTCACATCTGCGTTCATGTTAACACTAAGCGAAGTCCATTTCAAGACTTGGTACGTACTTCTTCATTATTCACAAACAAGCCAATAACGTACTTGAACATCAAGTACATTTAACCCAAATTCCGGTCAATAATTCTTATAATTAAACTGGTTTACTACAAACAGTTTACTGTTCTATAAATATACGTTTTGTAAACATTCTTACTAAACTAGTTTACAACAAAATGTTCTATAAATACATGTACGTATTATATACCTTAACACATTATTCACAAAAAAGCCAAAATCTGTTTGTTTTATCGTGGTCAATGGGACCAACTGTGCTTTTTTCCTTTACCCTTTGCGGGGATGTGAAGTTGAACTCCCGTACTCAAAGATCCTGCAAAAGTGACAAAGCCATTTGTGCTAACAGATCCGAGCACCTCTAGCGATCAAAGAACTATAATTATTATTAATTTTTAACAGGATACATCTCAAAGATATGATATTAGATGGAAAAGATGCATTCACATCTGCTCATGGCATGAGACTCTTCGAATACATTGGTTCAAACGAACAATTTGCTGAGATGTTTAACCGGACAATGTCAGAAATTTCTACCATGACCATGAAGAAAGTTCTAGAAGTTTACAAGGGATTCGAAGATCTAAATACTTTAGTGGATGTGGGAGGAGGAATTGGAACCGTTATAGGTCTAGTCACATCCAAGTATCCTCATATTAAGGGCATTAATTTTGATCTAACCTCGGTTTTAGCCCATGCTCCTCCTTATCTAGGTACAACACATACTGATATAATGAACAATTTGTATTGAAAGTTCTAGTTTTAATAGCTATCTATTGACAAGAGTGGAGCATGTTTCATGAGATATATTTACAGAAATTCCAAAAGGAGATGCTATTTTCATGAAAGTAAGTATATGTATACTTATGAAAAGGTTTTATTACTAAATATACATAATTTCATGATCAAATATATTTTAACTATGAAGCAAAATGGATAAAATGACAGTGGATACTACATGATTGGACCGATGAAGATTGTGTAAAAGTTCTAAAAAATTGTTGGAAAAATCTTTCGGAAAAAGGAAAAGTGATAAGGGTATGATTATAGATGGTAAATAAGGGTAAATATAAGAGGTTTTTAATATTATAAAATTCTTATATTTATCCAAACCATTTTTGGGTTTCTAAATATAGAATATATATTACCAATATTTAGTGGGTAAATATAACATA